GTCCCAGTAGGGTATTTTTGATGTTGCTTCAATTGCCGGGGTGGGGGGGTCCTCCTCATAAAAAATTACTAAAGTATTTTAAATGTAAACAGTAAGCAATTTAAATTTAAATGGTGAAGTTTTAAGGTTAAATAGTAAAGTATTTAAAATTGTACACAAACTGTATGTCCATCCTGCATATAACTTTTCACCAAAAAGAAATACATGTAATTGTTAGTATGTTGTTTCCATGAGTGAAAAACATGTATTTACTGTGTTTGTATATATGAACACGTATGTATGCATATAGTGTTAAAATTAGTAACAGGATATAATTTATATCCAGGGCTAAGTATAAATATTTCTCAGGCAGAGCTGCATCCCTGAAAAGGCACGAGGTCATGTGTAAAAAGAGCTACAGAGTTTGTTAGGTAAAGCCCCCATTGTCACGAAAGCTTTTACCCAGGAGGTGCACCATGTACCCCTACCTCGTGCCTGTTAGTTGGGAGCTTAAATACCACCCCCTGCATGAAGCCTCCTGCAATGCCAACTCCCTGACTAGAGACATGACCTAATTTCATCTTTCTCTGAACTGCCATAGCCTTTGCTTGTAACTCCCAATGTCCTTCATCTGTGCATCAGGTGACTAAGTTACTTTTGTGCATGTTTTTAGCTAGACTTTGTGATGTACATTCAAAATGCCTTCAAAGCAGCATCTAACTCCTGTTTAAATAGGTGCCCAAGCCTCGCACAACTGAACACTCAGTGAACAGCAGACTTTCATTCCTTTAGTCAAAATTTATGAAACAGGTACTCTTTGGCAAGAAGAGTATATCCAGTGGCCCGCTTAAGGAACAAATTCTTGCCCTGCCAGAGATGGACCATGAACCAGTAACCATGAAAACACAGCCTGCAAGGTTTTTGGTTTAAGCATTAAAGCTCCTAAAGAGGCTTGGCAACTGTAACACAGTGGTTATGGTGCCAGCCACATACATCGAGGCTGGCGGTTTTGAACCCAGCCTGAGCCGGCTAAACCAGATTGACAACTGCGACAAAAAAATAGCAGGGCGTTGTGGAGGGCGCCTGAAGTCCCAGCTCCTGGCAGACTGAGGCAAGAGAATCACTTAAGCCCAGGAGTTTGAAGTTGCTGTGAGCTGTGACACTAAGGCACTCTACTCAGGGCGACAGCTTGAGACTGTGTCTAAAATAAAGAAACAAACAAAATCCTTCCTAAACAAAGCAAAACAAACAACAAAAAAGCAACTGCTAGCATTCTGGCCTCATTTACACTTTTGTCCCATGGCAGTGCTGTCACTCAAGGACAGAGAGGTGGGGCCTGAGGCCTCATCCAATCAGAGATGCTCCAATATGAACTGGCCAATGAGACGCACAGCCGGAAGGCAGGAGGCAGCTCCTGGGATCCCGAGCCCCGCGAGTGTCTGGAGCTGGCTGCTCATCTGGGGTTCCCTCTTCAACCGTTGCTGCTCCAGGAGCATCCAGCTGTCTGTGCAACACCCTCTGTCACCGTGTGACCTGCAGGTACTGGGAGATCTGTAGGGAGGACACCGCGACATCTCTGAAGCTGGGAAATGGTGAGTCTAGGAATCTGGGTGTCCTGAGAGGGGGAGGGGCGTAGTTGGAGCCGGAAGTGGCTGTGGCGGGACTGGGCAATTTCACTTCAGTTTTACGTCTTCAGAGTGATGTTTGCCAGTGGTCCCCCGTGGCCCTCAGACTCCTGTGAGCAAAGGATGGAGTGGGGCAGGCAGCTGGGACTCGGTTGCCCCGGCCCCTTCCTAGAGTGGTTACTTGGACCAGGGCCCAGAGCTCTCTGTGAGTTGCTATGAGTCCGTCCCGCGTGGTGACTATGGAAGGGTCCTCAGGGAAGAATCCCAATTAAGTGGGTAGGGCTTGTTCATGGGAGGGGCTGTAGTTGGTGGGGCCCCAGTCCCCGCATTCTCCTTTTAAACTTAAACTGTTAAACATAAACTTTGAGCTGCTGTTATACCCATCGTCAGTGGAATTATGGAGAAAACGCCAGCACACTTGAGTTCAAATTAGGTATGGGGTCCTTTATGGGCTAGCCCACCGAGACGGGTTTCCACACCTCAAATGTCTTGGCACCCCCATGGCAAAGGAAAGGAGTTTTTTTGCCTTTCAGTTGGGGTGGGGGAGATGAATGGAATCCTTTAGGTGAAAGGAGGCTTTGCAGGATTCTACAGGGTTGGGGGTTGGTTAGTTACCAGGGGAACGGAGGATAGAAATGCGGTTTTCTTAGGGTCTGCTTCAACTCTGGGCTAATCCCCTGTCTCTGCCAGATAGGTTTGTTTAACCGCCCATTTCTGCAAGGTCTAGTTGCTGAAGAGGAGGGGGAAAAGAGAGTGCAAACTGGGGTCCTTTTGGCCTTTCACTGTGCGCCTGCAGCAACCTGCCTCCCTCCCAGGCGGTGACAATGAAAGAGTCTTCAGGGAGGAATCCCAGCTGGGTGGCTTATTCTTGGGAGGGAGTGTAGTCCGTGGGGCCTCCACTCCCTCGATTCTTCTTTTAAAGGTAGACTTAGGGCCTGGGTCGTTTGCCCACGGTTTTGCTGAACGGAAAGTGGCTCTGTTGCCTGTGGTTGTAGTTAAACACGGAGGCTGGGAGATGATTCATTTGTAAAAAGTCATTATTATCGGAAAGCCAGAGATTCACGAGAACAGCGAGAGTAATTTTTTAAATGTTGTTTTGTCTATGTAGGAAATTTTAATAATTTATATAGGGGATAATTTCAAAAGTATACCTAAAATATACTTATTTGATTAACAACATGTAGGCAAGTTAAATATATATAAAAAATAAATAATTATTAACTTTTTCTATAGTGCCTGATTACGTCCTCGGTTTTTTGTTGTTGTTGTTGTTTGTTTGTTTGTTTTTGTTTCTTT